TTCCTTCATTTCAACGTATTGTGTTAAATACACCAAAGCCTTCTTCGCTAAGTTCTTTGAATTTTCTTTTTGTTAAAGCTTGTATGTTGAAGCTTTCTGAGTGGAGCATGTAGGTTGGGGTAGTGTTCCCTTAATTTCCCGAGTGAGGAAAACTTCTCGGTTGGAGACTTGGAAAATCCAAGTCACTGAGTGGGATCGGCTATATGAATCTTAGAACGCCATTGTGCTCGATCCTGTGTCATGTCCTTCGTTAGATCCAAGTACTCTAAGTCTTTTCTTAGAGTCTCTTCCAAAGTTTTCCTAGGTCTTCCTCTACCCCTTCGGCCCTGAACCTCTGTCCCATAGTCGCATCTTCTAATCGGAGCGTCAGTAGGCCTTCTTTGCACATGTCCAAACCACCGTAACCGATTTTCTCTCATCTTTCCTTCAATTTCGGCTACTCCTACTTTACCCCGGATATCCTCATTCCTAATCTTATCCTTTCTCGTGTGCCCACACATCCAACGAAGCATCCTCATCTCCGCTACACCCATTTTGTGTACGTGTTGATGTTTCACCGCCCAACATTCTGTGCCATACAGCATCGCCGGCCTTATTGCCGTCCTATAAAATTTTCCCTTGAGCTTCAGTGGCATACGGCGGTCACACAACACGCCGGATGCACTCTTCCACTTCATCCATCCAGCTTGTATTCTATGGTTGAGATCTCCATCTAATTCTCCGTTCTTTTGCAAGATAGATCCTAGGTAACGAAAACGGTCGCTCTTTGGTATTTCTTGATCTCCGATCCTCACCCCTAACTCGTTTTGGCCTCCATTTGCACTGAACTTGCACTCCATATATTCTGTCTTTGATCGGCTTAGGCGAAGACCTTTAGATTCCAACACTTCTCTCCAAAGGTTAAGCTTTGCATTTACCCCTTCCTGAGTTTCATCTATCAACACTATATATCGTCTGCGAAAAGCATACACCAAGGAATATCATCTTGAATATGTCCTGTTAACTCATCCATTACCAACGCAAAAAGGTAAGGACTTAAGGATGAGCCTTGATGTAATCCTACAGTTATGGGAAAGCTTTCGGTTTGTCCTTCATGAGTTCTTACGGCAGTCTTTGCTCCTTCATACATATCCTTTATAGCTTGGATATATGCTACTCGTACTCCTTTCTTCTCTAAAATCCTCCAAAGAATGTCTCTTGGGACCCTATCATACGCTTTTTCCAAATCTATAAAGACCATGTGTAAATCCTTTTTCCCATCTCTATATCTTTCCATCAATCTTCGTAAGAGATAGATTGCCTCCATGGTTGAGCGCCCTGGCATGAACCCGAATTGGTTGTCCGAAACCCGTGTCTCTTGCCTCAATCTATGCTCAATGACTCTCTCCCAGAGCTTCATTGTATGACTCATTAGCTTAATACCCCTATAGTTCATGCAATTTTGTACGTCGCCCTTATTCTTGTAGATAGGCACCAAAGTGCTCGTTCGCCACTCATTTGGCATCTTCTTCGTTTTCAAAATCCTATTGAAAAGGTCAGTGAGCCATGTTATACCTGTCTCTCCCAAAAGTTTCCACACTTCGATTGGTATATATCGTCTGGGCCTATTGCTTTTTTATGCTTCATCTTCTTCAAAGCTACAACCACTTCTTCCTTCCGGATTCGACGATAAAAAGAGTAGTTTCTACACTCTTCTGAGTTACTCAACTCCCTTAAAGAAGCACTCATTTCATGTCCTTCATTGAAAAGATTATGAAAATAACCTCTCCATCTGTCTTTAACCGCGTTCTCTGTAGCAAGAACCTTTCCATCCTCATCCTTGATGCACCTCACTTGGTTTAGGTCCCTTGTCTTCTTTTCCCTTGCTCTAGATAGTTTATAGATATCCAACTCTCCTTCTTTGGTATCTAGTCGTTTATACATATCGTCGTAAGCCGCTAACTTAGCTTCTCTGACAGCTTTCTTCGCCTCTTGCTTCGCTTTTCTATACCTTTCACCATTTTCATCGGTCCTCTCCTTGTATAAGGCTTTACAACATTCCTTCTTAGCCTTCACCTTTGTTGTACCTCCTCATTCCACCACCAAGATTCCTTTTGGTGTGGGGCAAAGCCCTTGGACTCTCCTAATACCTCTTTTGCTACTTTTCGGATACAACTAGCCATGGAATCCCACATTTGGCTAGCTTCCCCCTCTCTATCCCACACACATTGGGTGATTACCTTCTCTTTGAAAATGGCTTGTTTTTCTTCTTTTAGATTCCACCATCTAGTCCTTGGGCACTTCCAAGTCTTGTTCTTTTGTCTCTTACTCTTTTGATATGTACATCCATCACCAACAAGCGATGTTGATTAGCCACGCTCTCTCCTGGTATAACTTTGCAATCCTTACAAGTTATACGATCCCCTTTCCTCATTAGAAGAAAATCTATTTGTGTTTTTGACGACCCCACTCTTGTAGGTGATCACATGTTCTTCTCTCTTCTTAAAGAAGGTGTTGGCTAAGAAGAGATCATATGCCATTGCAAAATCCAAGATAGCTTCCCCATCCTCGTTTCTCTCTCCCCAAAACCATGGCCACCATGAAAACCTCCATAGTTGCCTGTCTCCCTGCCCACGTGTCCATTTAAATCTCCTCCTATAAATAACTTCTCCGTCTGAGCAATTCCTTGCACCAAGTCTCCAAGATCTTCCCAAAATTTCTCCTTCGAACTCGTATCCAACCCTACTTGAGGTGCGTACGCACTAATCACATTGATAAGTTCTTGTCCTATTACAATCTTGATTGCCATGATTCTATCTCCTACCCTCTTGACATCTACAACATCTTGTACCAAGGTCTTGTCCACGATGATGCCAACACCGTTTCTCGTTCTATTTGTGCCCGAATACCAAAGTTTAAACCCTGAGTTTTCTAGATCCTTTGCCTTACTACCAACCCACTTAGTTTCTTGTAGGCACATAATATTTATCCTTCTCCTCACCATAACTTCCACTACTTCCATAGATTTTCCCGTTAAGGTTCCTATATTCCACGTTCCTAAACGCATTTTGCTCTCTTGAACTCTACCCTTCTGTCCTAGCTTCTTCACCCTCCCCCGTCTAATAGGATCAAAGTACTTCTTTTGTGTGTCCCGGGTAAAGTTGATAGGAGCATATGCTCCCAAACAACTTTGAGTGGAGTCGTTCGAAAAGAAGTTTCTATGGCCCCCTTGCTCATTTAACACTGCATCCGGGTGCCGATGGAGATACAGCGACCCTTGCTCACTTATCACTGTGCTCAGGCCACACAGCGCGCCACTTACGGGTGACGCCCTAGCTTTAGCGCGATTTTGTTCTGGATTCATTTTCATAAGGATTCGACGTGATCATGGAGTGCCGGCTGTCGACTACCTGACGCCCTCCCCCTCCTCCTTTATCCGGGCTTGGGACCGGCCATGTAAGACATAGGCGGAGGGCTTGGGACCTCCCAAATCGATCAAAGACAGAGAGCACAAAATCAATCAAGAAATGAAATCGGTGAGAAGAAGAAAATCCAAATATTACCGACTCAAAGACGCCATTACCGATCAAGAACAGTGATCAGAATACCAAATCAACGAAGAACTCTGATAAATTTGAACAGAAATAAGAGAAACTGAGCGGAAGAAATGGAGGATCAAGGAATGCCGGGAGGCGGTTGGCGATGAAACCATGTAGAAAATGTAGAAAGAGATATTTTCATTGATTAACTTTAATTGTCAGTACACAAGAATATATATAGCCACAGAGGCTCATTACATCAGTACCCTTATCTTCTACACCTAATTACACAATTACCACAATTAACTATTTACTGTTGTAACTAACTTGTGACTGGTTTAGCTCTCTCAATACCTAAATTGTGCCTAATATTTGATGTAGCCAGTGGCTTTGTTGTATGGGTGGCTTATGTGATTTGGGAGTGTTTTTAGTTAATGGGAGATGGGACAAAGGTGTGGGGGCAGCGAAGTCAAGTGGGATTAGGAATTTAGGATAGTAGAGTATTTGCTAATTTATGGGATTAGAAGTCTTCTTTTATTTTTGTCTTGGTGTGATGAAAAAAAAATGGGTGAGTAATTTTAACTCCAGTTTAAGGTAATAACATGTGAATTGTTCTCAGGTATATTGGAACTAAATTTTTCATGATGCTCTTTCCTTTTCTTCTCAGTGAAAAAACATACTAAAGCAACAACGTTATGGTGGTGGGAATAAGCGTTCTCAGGTATGTATGGATGTGTGATATGAATTAGGTGATTGATGTTGAAGCATCAGTCAATAAAAAACAGATAGGATCTCAGATATTTTACGTTAATCTGTACATCATGTTTTTGTTGTCCTCCCTGTATCGGACCAGGATCCTCTCCTTAGCTAAGGATGAGGATCCTCCTCATCAAAGGGTGTGGGCCATTCGATGAAAATCCAACGGCTACAATTATTATAACTTTAAAAGAACCTCCCTGTTTGTAGCCGTTGGATTTTCATCCAACGGCCCATATCCCTTGATGAGGAAAATCCTCATCCTTAGCTCAGGAGAGGATCCTGGTCCCCTGTATCAAGGTGAGAAAGGCCTTCTTTATTTCGGCCTCAATTACTAATTGAAAACTCATTCATATTTTTTCATAGAAATTCCGTCGTTATGCACTGCTGTTTAATTGCTCTTTTTGGGTTTTCTAGCCAAAAAGTAGGTCAGTGTATATTTATTTAACTCCCCTGATTTTCTTTTTTAATTTATTTTTTGTTTTTTTTGTTGGGTGATGCAGTTTAATCGAATCAAAGTTGAATTGAATAATCCTTGAAGTGACAAGAAGGAGCCGACTAAGCAAGTAATACTTCTTAATTACTTACATGTTTTCATTTTAATTTATGATTTGATTGGCCCTTATAGAAATTTGAGCTCCATAATTGTTGGACCATTGATATGTTATGAGTGTTGATTAGTGTAGGTGTGTAAATATAGTGTATGGGTGTTAAGTAATTCAAATATTATCGACAATCTCAGAAGGGAAGGGGTATCCCCTTCTTCTTTTTCTCTTGAACTCTCTCTTATCAAAAAACTAAAGCACGGCCGCCAGTTTTCTTATCCTTTAATTGCCGATCTCCTCAGGTTTGCCTCAAGCCGGCGAAGGAATCAGGGGAACGGAGCTCAGACTATCAGAGGTATATTTTCACATCCCTAAATTTTTATTTTATTTTATTAATTTCAACCGGATCTGGGAATTTCTAAGTCATGGATCTATGAATAGTGTGTGTTGAGTCTCTGAGCATCTCTATTTTTTTTTTCATCAAATGGTCTCTGTAGTGTCTCTGTGTGTTTGTGCATCCATGTATGAATATGATCTCTGCAAGCTCATTATTGTCCTGGGAAACCACCTAAATTATTGATTCCTTGCTTTCTACGTACAATGTTATCAAGTTCTATTTTCTAATTTTCTGAATTTGGGGTGGAGGGAGTGCTAATATAGTAATTTTTCAGGTATTTTGTGTCTTTTGGGTAACTTTGTGATATGTAGTTGATTTTAGGAATTGATTTATGGTGGAATGCACTGACATAAGTTATTGTTTTTTGTTAATGCAGATGACGGAAATCAACTCAAGTTCAAACTGAAACAATATGATTATTTTGGTTATGGTGAGAACTCAGAACCCTTTCTTAATCTTTCTTGTTTTTGGAATTGAGAAAATGGGTTAATTTTATGATGATTCACCGAGAATTTGTTAATTGTTAATCACTTTAATGCATATGAGATAGGGTTTCTGCTTTGTAAGATCTATTTCTGGTCTTTAGAAATTGCTTGATTTGGTATTGTCAAATGGTATATGAATTTCCATGTTCACTTTGTCAGTATGTTGTTGTAGTAGTTTAATTGGATGCAATATAAGTTGAGGTGCTGACATGAAATCAGACACAGGTAGTTTTCCTCGATTTTGCGGGATAAAGTTGTAGTTTGATTTAGGCTATAAATGATAACCAAATTAAGTTGAATGAGTTGTCACAATCAGAGACGGCTGATGCCATTTTGAACTGGGTTTCTTATAGCATGCATATCCATACTAGCAAGCAAAGTTTCACTTCATTGGTTATTATATTTGATTGAGTTAAACTTGGATTTCGGGTTTTGACTTTTAGTTTGTTTCTCTGTTGCAGAGCTGGCTTCATTTCATTCCAGTGACTTTAAATAGGTCCAAGAACTCACTAAATAGGTAATTGTCTTATATCTTCTTCTCTCTTTGTGTTTATATTTATTTTTCCTGAGTTGTGTTCGAATATGACAAACAAGAACTACAAGGCAGCTAAAAATATCCGGCAATCCATTACCGGTTGAATGATTAATTGGCCATATATCTTGGATTTGCAGCGTTTTCATTTCGGAAACATGGGAGACTTTGTGCATCATGTATATCTGCAATGTATATCCCTTATATATTTATTGTACAAAATATTAGTTCACTTACACTTTAATTTTATTCATGGTTGTGGTTTTCAAGGTAAATGGTTTATATTGAAGTTTATGTATACTGCAATTTAATTCTATTCGATAACAATTTTAGTTATTTCTGCTCAAATTTTGGTATCTAGAAACGCTTTTAGCCTTACCAAAGCCTTCCCAGACACACTCCTTAAGTTGATCAATCATTTGTTTTGTTCGACATGGCATGTTGCTCTTTAATATTTATGTCTATTTGTTAAAAATTGAATCAATTGATTAGGATGAGAACTTCAGTTTTGGGTATTGTTCCACAAGAACCCTGGTTGGTCATTTATATGTGGGTGAATTTTGCAGTGAAATTAAGGAGAGGATTAAGAAGACCAAGTAAAGAAGGGGCGTGGTTTTGCAATCTATGACTGCGGCTGTGACAAAGCTTTTCATAGTGGTCAGGATGGTAAAGGTTTAAAAATGTCTAATTTTATTCACATGTGTATTCTTTTTCATGTGCACAAGCAAATGTACATGCATAGGCATGGTGTGTATGTTTTTCTTCTTTAATTTACTTTTATTTTTATTGAGATATGGTCAGTATTAAATTGAAATTGATATTTTAGACTTTACTCCTTATGTGGTTTTCGGAACCCAACATGTGAAGGGTTAATTCTATTTTTAGGTTGAAGGAAAATAGTGTATAATTTGGGAAGTGCTTTCAATTCTACTCTCATCTCTAATATGAATATAGAATACAACCCTGACCCTGAGTAATTGAAAGTTCTAGGATGGTACTAGTTTAACCTAGAGGGGGTGAATAGGTTCCAATTTAAAAATCCAATTCAATTTTCAATTTAATTTTCAGTTCTCAAATTAATTCCACATTCACATCACATATAAACTATCATACACATATGCAATTATAAAGATAAATAAAATGTGCACACAGGATGTAGGATTTAACGAGGCAAAACCCACCATTGGGAAAATCCTCGGGCTCCCAAGCCAGGACAAACACTAAGAGAAATGAGTACAAAAAGACTTACAAAACTCATCAACTAGACACGCATACTAGTAGGCAGTTTTGTCTCCGAGCTTTGCTACTCGATCTCTCTTCAGCCTTCGAGTGGAAGTGGCACGACACTAACGCGGCCATCAATCACTGTCGCCTCGAACTTTGCAGATACTAACGCGATCATGCAGAATGTATGAAATGAAATGATTTTGAAAATCAACCAATTATGAAAATCACAAGGCACATTTTCATAATTGATTTCAATTGAAGCACAATGAAAAACCAGTGAACAAAACTAAATTTTTCTTTAAAAGAAAAAATACGTGGATACAAACTGATTTTTTTCTACCATAAACCTCACGGGAAAAATACGATTTTTCCTTTGAAAACACAGGCTGCTGACCGACATGGAAAACAAACTTTCTGCTGTTATATGAATGACGATGCATTCAGTGCATGGTGCTGCATCAAATGAAAACTACAATACATACCTTCCGAGCATGCAGCAATATATAAGAATATATATGTATTCTAAAACATGCAGCAAGTATATATATATATATAACTTAAATAATGAAAGTGCAGCAGCAATCCAAGACTAAAAAACCTTATTCTCATATAGCAGCAGCATCATTTTCACTTTCACGAAAACGCAAAGGCAGCAACACAAAAACTCTTTTGTTTGTCTTTCAAAACATGCAGCAATATCGGAGTGCGACGGCAACACCAAAACTAAAAAAAATCTTTCTAATCTCTGCAGCCGTGCTAAACCAAGTAATTAGGACCCCTATTTATATGTGTGTATATATGCTAGGGTTTTTAAGCTGACTTAAAATTATGGGCTTAAACTAAAGCATAGTTAAACTAAATGGCCCATTGAATGCAAACTTAGACTATATGAATATGCATGCCAAATTTACCTGAGTGGATGTCTTTGAAAACGCTTGCCATTTTGTGATTGAGAGCACGTGAGACAAACTTAGACTAAAATAATTACAACTGAAAACAAGCACTAGTCTAAGATTACAGACTTAGGCGTTTTGTTTAGGAATAGCCAATTTTACCCTAACAATCTCCCCTTTTGGCATTTCCTAGACAAAACCCTCAATCACAATATTACAGACATATAATATTATTAAAGACCATGCATAACATCAAAGTCTGTAACCTGCACACACTCAAACAAGAAAACCTGTGACGCACAAAAGATATAAGTTTCTGAAAATAAAAGTATTTATCTATAAAAGCAAGCAACAAAAAACAATCAGGTTTTCGAATTTCTATTTCTCCCCCTAAATATAAGCTTCCTACTTCTCCCCCTTTTTGTCTAAAAAGGTCAAAGGCCTTAGAGGTAACCATCAGGTGCAGTCAGCGGAAGATAAGTGGAACATAACAAAATGTGATGGAGAAAGATTTCCTTTCTATGAACTAGGACCTCTTCGGAAGAATAAAAGTGGGGACGAAATTGGGAGGGAAAAGAATGCAAGTGCAATAGTCGAAAAGCGAAACATGAAAAGAAATGCATCTTTCATATTGTTAAGCTCCCCCTAAACAAATGCTTTAAAAAAATAATGAAATGCAACACACAAATGATATGATTTTTTATTTTATTTTATTTTTTTATTTTTAAATTGTATGAGAAGCATATAATTGTTCCAACAAGAATGAAAGAGTGCAAAAACATGTAGTTCTGAATCCTCATTCACAAGCTAACATTATCCCTAAAACATAACATGTATGAGTATAGTTGCAAGTATAGCCGAAAGTTGATACTACACAAATGTAATTAAGTCTTAAAGGACCAACTTAACTTTAACCCTTAAGCTCACAAGATATACGCTCGAATTTTCATTCAAAGTGTTTGGGGGTAAGTGTATACACTCAAAAGATCATTACATGAATGTTCTGTCATAGGCTTGCAGATTGATCTCATCTCCACACATCAAAAATGACCTTCTTTGGATCAAGTAGGTCTTTGTGAAAGGTTGTAATGGGGCTTCAGGTACTCGGTTAAAGAAATGAAGGATATAGGAAACACAAAGTCTAAGAAACTAATAGAGTAGTTGGAAATGAAACCAAGAGAGAAATACAACAACGAACCAGGTAACTTAGCACTCAATTGAGTAGTTGGATTTAAGACATGAACGACATACAACCGCACAATTCATTTGAGATGATTCTTGCTCTTCATTTAAACCAACACACTTGATTTCTTATAATGCTGGCAGCTCACTTATGATTCATAGTGACTTCTTTTCCCTTTTTCTTCTTTTGCTCTTCATTTGTAGTTGGTTTTCTTCACAAAATTTGCATCTTCAACCTTTAAATAACCTTGAACTCTCTCTTTTGAAAAACGTACTCTACTAGCTTCTTAGTAGGGTAGGAAATTTTTAATATAAGAGGCTAGGTAAGGAAAATATAGGTTTAAGAACAAAAGGTTTACATATAGGCTCAAAAGGGTTAACTAGGGGAAAACATGTAAGGCACTGGCATATATGGCAATGATGGTAAGTCCTAATGCCTACCATCGTCTCCAAAATAGATTAATATATGATACAAAGTTTTGAGAGGTCTCAAAGCAAGTTCTAGAGAAGCAAAACACAAAAGATCACACACATGAAAAAAATAAGAGTGTATGAAAAATGCACACACTATATTTAGGCACAAAAGCTCACATGGGTGCGGGTTTTACTCAAGTTAAACATGTTCAACTCATTAACATTGATATATTATCAACAAAAGGCTATTGTCCACAACAGAGTCAAACATATCATGCTAGGGTCATGTTATCAAGTGAACAAAGCTAGAACTCATATGAAATCATACTTTTCCATTTTACCTCATACATTTTTTTTTTTCATTTTTTTTTTTTAACAAGAAGAAAGACAAAAAATGCAGTATTTATGCTATATGAACATGCAAGCATACATTAATGAAAACATTTGCAAAGAGAGAGCTTAGTCAATATAAACAACTTGAAGGTGGAGATAAATTGACAAGTATACCACTTTGATTCTCTTTTCTTCTCCAAACTTGTCTCACTTTTGGAACTAAAGTACTTGGTACAGATATAATTCTTGCAATCCGATTAATCTCTTTCAAATAAGTCACAAATTGTTCCTTAAGATTTTCTTTTTCAAAGTTCTTTGAAACTTTTTCTTGAGAAGAATTTTTCTTTCTAAGCTTATTGCACTTAGGCCGGACGTGACCAGGAATCCCACAAAGATGACATATAGGAATGAACTTCCTAGATTGTTTGGGTTTGTTAAGATTAATTGAAGTCTTGACAGGATTTGACACATGTGCCAAGATTGTAGATGTTTCGGGAGTAAGACCTAAACATTTATCGTCACCTACTTTCAACCTAGGAATATCAGAGGCTTTGACAAATCTGGTGACAGAAGAAGAACTTGTAGTCTTTGTAGACTCGAATCCTAGACCTCCTTTGTCTCCAAAACTTTTTCCATAGCTAAGCATCTTGTCAATTTTCCCCGAACCTATGCTCAACTCCTGAACTTTTCTTCTCATCTCAACCACTTCATCCTCAAGAGCTTTCTTATCAGACGAGAGAGTGTTAATTGTGGTTTGTAGAATGTGAATCTTCTCTAATAGCGACTCTCGCAGTTTCTCTCCATTGTCCAACTGAGATTGATGCTCAACTTCAGCTTCTTTCTTTTCACTTTCAACAAATGCAAGTTTCTTCTTCAAGTTAGAGTTATCCTTCTTTACTTGCACACTGATGTCATAGAGATCAGAATATTTTCTCAAGACTTCTTCCAAGTCAGGTTCTTCAACAAATGAACCTTCTGTGTCATATCCATCAACAGTTCCTATAAACGCAATCGTATCCTTCTCAGATTCTGACGTAGATGCATCCCCTGAATCACTATCGCTCCAAGTGACCTTCATTGCCTTATTCTTCTTCTCTTTTCTCTTGATAGTGTTTGCACACTCAGAAGCAATGTGTCCATAGCCTTGACACTCATGGCACTGAACCCTATTGTTAGAACTCCTATGTTCACTAGTTCTAGATGATCCAGAGGCTTTGTCATGTGAGACATCTAGAGAACGAACGTTTTTTGAGTTCGAACCTGAGTTGGTTCGTTGCTCACGACCCTTGGAATTTTGAAACTTGAGAAACCTTCTAATTTGCATGGTTAATTCAACCAATTCATCTTCGGACAAGTCTTCAATTGAGCCATCACTTTCTTCTTCTTTGACAGCTTTGAGAGCAATGCTTTTCATCTTCTTGGAATCAGGAAGCTCTAACTCGTACGTTTGCAGACCCAATCAATTGCTCAAGCTTGTAGGTGTTTAGATCTTTCGATTCCTCAATCGCTGTCCTCTTAGCATGAAACCTCATAGGAAGTGATCTTAAGATCTTTTTCACAATCCTATGCTCAGGAATACTATCACCAAGATTATGACAGCCATTGACAATTACGCTAAGCTTAGCATAAAAGTCAGAGAAACTTTCATCATCAGACATTGTGATATTTTCGAATTTTGTGATGAGATGTTGAAGTTTGGATTCTTTAACAGTTGAGTTACCCTCATGAGTAACTTCAAGAATGTCCCAAGCTTTTTTCGCCGTTGTACA